GTATGGCTAGTATGTCTGCAAAGCAATTACAATACATGAGTAAATTAACTGTTAATAAAAAAAAAAAAAGAGATTATACTTTCATAATTGTATTAACTACCCATAAGCGCCACCAATTTCGGCAAAGGGGTACATCCTACATAGTATATACGTAGATTTCTAAATAATGCTTAAATTATTTTAGTTAAATACGTAGGAATATTTATTCATATTTTATGACAATACAAAATTTTCGGTGGCTACAAAGTAATGCAGGCTACTAGAAAATCCGATAATTATAATAATAACTTCTATCCTACATTTTTAAATGTTGTTTTTTTTTTTTTTTAATCCAGAGATACAAGTTTGCCTCTCTTGCGGTGTTTATGCACCTACTTTTGCTATAAATTAAAAAAATATTCCATTAAAATATCACAATATTAAAAGCGTGACGGAATTGTTTTGAATCTAAGAGCAAAGAACTAAAAGATCTATTCATAATTCAAAACCACCATGCAGGATTGTAAAGGTTTGACTCTAAGCCAGTGGTGCTGAACCAAACACCCAAGAGAGTCAACCATCTCCTTTTTTCTATCGGTAGTTAGCAGTTGGTGGATACCCAAAATAAACTATTTATGTATTAATTACTAGATATTTTTCTACAGTATAATAGGTAATGGGTAGCAAGAAATAATTTTTGGTCCCTACTTCCAATTTAATTTTAGTTGGCGTCACTGCTCTTAACAATAAAGACATATTAGATATATTATAAAACACAGTATATTATGGTATACTGCCACAGAACTATAGTCAATTTACTACACAACTTCAACAAATATTGTTTAATTCATTGTTATAATACAATTACCAAGGCTGGGCATTAACGAATTAAAAGTTAAAATTAAGTTAAAACTTTAAGTTAATTAACTCGTTACTATTTTTTACAAATTAACTTGTAACTTAATAAGTTACATTTTTTTAAGATTAACGTGTTAACTTTAAGTTAATTTTATTTAAATGTAGCTAAATAAGTTAATTTTAGTGTAAAAAAATAATGCAAATTATTAAATGAGGTTTTTAGTACATTTATAATTTACTATTTTAATATAAATTTCCTGTAGACGAAAATAATATGAAAAATAACTTTAATAGTTATTATATTGGTTATATTTTATCATTATATTTTTATAACATTGTTATTGTTCAAACACTATAAACCCATGGAAATCTTAAGAATATTCAGTGAAAACAGTAAATACCATGAGAGCGAGTGTCGATGGGGGTTAATCACAAAAAAACTGTGGTATAATTTCCAATTTAATTTCATTATTCAACTAGCATGTGTTCTGTTCACATCTCGTTAGAATTTATAATATATTGTTATTAGTTTATTACTTTATAAGCTTATTATATTTCTATAAAAGTTTATTATTTTTGATATTTGGTTTTTTGATAGCTAGGTAATCAATACTTTGATGTATCATTTTAAATTTCACCAGTAATTTTCTTGAGCGTAAAAAAACTAATATGTGTGCAATTTTTTATTTTTGCAAATTAGAAAATTTTAACTTTAAACTAAGTTAAGTTACTTTTTTTCGAAGTTAACTTTTAACTTAACAAATTAACGAAAGAATATAAGTAACTTTTAATTTAACTTAACTTTATTTTAAAATAACTTAAAGAATTAAAAAAAATCGTTAACCTGCCCAGCCCTGACAATTACTGCAACACTGCAATAATTTTAAAATAACGATACATTACTATTCTGTTATATCTTAAGTGAGATAATTTATGGTCAATTATTTAAAAAATGTCCAATAGGTAGAATTTTTAAATAGTTCGGAACTGATCTTACAGGCTATTATCATTTGTCTTATACTCTAAATTATTTTAAATCAATCAAAAGACATGTCTATTATTTTATTAGGCTAGGTAGTTTTTAGTTATATAATAATAACACTGTTGTCTATTCACTCTGGATGTTTGGAAACCTTTAGTTCAGCGATCCCCAAATTTTTCCAGCTACAGAGCATTTTTTTAAGCAGTGTTTTCTCGTGGAGCCCCAAAAAATATTTAGTTTTAAGTCTATTTATTAATATTAATATATATTAATCTTTCTGTACTCTATAAAGTATATTACACATGATGTGTATTTATAAAGGTATAAATTCAAAATGAGATAGTATACATTTAATATTATATTTATATACAATATATCTGACCAAGAAATAAGTGGAACGGGATTGCGTAATATCTAAAATTAAAAAATTATATTTTCCTATCGGGATTTTAATATTCTTTATATATGTATTGGTGAATTATATTTGAGTGACTGAGTCTTGTAAAAATATATACGATCGTTGTTTTAAATAATGATCAATATATATGATCAAAATACGTTTTTACATTTTCTATGGTAAAACGAACGGAACCCTATGAAGCCCGCAGAGCACAGTTTGGGAATCGCTGCTTTAGTTAAATATGAGCATGATAAGATGTTATTTTTTGAAATTTTGACGACAAGAAATCTATGATTTACTCAAAAATTAGAAAAAAAAAGATTATACAAAAATACCCAATGGCTGGTTTATATATGTATAAGTCATTACACATTCAATAAATTATTTTATTTTAATTTATATTTTGAGTATTTATTAAATAGTAACATTTTGTATACATTTATCTAATACATTTTTTTATGAATCTTGATTTAATTAAACGGAATTTTGTAAAAAGAAAAAGTAATAACATAAAAAAAAATATAATCAAAACAATTTCTGTTATATATTTTAATGCATTTTATATTTAAAACATTCTTATATGTATCAAAATTTTTATTTTAATTATTATTCAATATTATACAATTTTAAGTGTAAGTATTAAAAAGTTTTATATTATCTACCAACTATAATATACAAATTTAATATTTGATCATTAGAATCACCTACAACCTTTTAAAGGCACAAAGGTCCAGGGACAGGATCAAAAAAATAAAAAATATCACCAATGTCAAAGATTAAATTTTAATTAATAATTAACATTAATTTGTGAAGAAAATAGTTTTTATTTAAGAACACTACTTTCAACAATTTATTTTTTAAACAGTACAAAGTTTAACACACTAATTACCACTTTAAAAGGATAAGAATTAATTATTAATATTGTTTTATTGGATTATTATTATGATCTAACCAAGAAAAGTCACTCAAATTTTATTTAACATACAGTAGTTGAATTCTTCCATAATTATTTTTTGTAAATTATAATTTGAGTCATTAAAAAATGAATGTTTCTATACATTGTCTATAGCTAAAAAAAACTACTGTAAAAATTAGCTAGTTATATAAATGTTATTGCAGAATAAAAAAATATCAACTGATAAAGCAATAATTATTTTTTAAAAACCAAGAAAATATATTTATATTATATTTAAATGGAAAGTAATTTTATTAAATCAATAACAAACTAAGATATTTGCCAGATCAGTCAATCTACACTTATATACTGTAATACGTAAATCCGTAATTCTATAGTTCTTATCAATGGCTATGGCTTATCCAAACAGCCTTAACTAATCTTTACAATAAGTATTTAACAACATGAAATTAGTAAATATATTATAGAAATGACATAACAACATTTTATTTAATACTCAGCTATGTAAAATAAACCACATTAAATAAAAAATAAAATAACTGTTTTCAAATAATTAAAAAAATAATAATAAAATGATTAATAAGATAAAGGTAGGGGTTATGGTCCAGTGATTAACCGCTGTTATCTTTGAGCATTGTTTCCGGTATTACTAATTTTTAGATGGATTATATCAGAATATAATATAAAACAAAGTTATGCTCTTACACTATCTTTATACCTTTACTAATAATTAGGGTTCGGGACTTATTGCACACAAATTTTAGAAAATATGCATGCAAATATGCACTTAAAATAATCGAAACATAAGCAAAAACATGCAACTGAATATGTTTTTAATGATAGTTAAAAAATTTGATTTATTCATTTAAATGTAGACAATATTTTTTAATCTATATTTGTTTACAACAATAACACAATAAATATTATATTACTGTGTATGTCCAATTTCATTTTCTTTATCTTTTCCTACAATGAAAAATACAAACTAAATACTTATTTTACATTATCTAAACCAGTGATTTTCAACCTTTATCACGTCGCGACCCCCATTTCTTATTTTTTTGTAATATAACCCCCTAAAAAAAAAAAAAAAAATGTTTTATTCATCAACATTTGATTTAATTACCTATAAAATATTTACATGATATACAATTTTTATTAATTTACACTTAAAAATTTCACACAATAAATAATTAACTTTATTTTTTTTTTAAATAATATGGAAAAATCATTTCATCTATTATTTTTGGCAACCCCCAAAACTATGATTCGCGACCCCCAGGTTGAAAACCACTGCTCTAAAATACGGTAAGCGATAGAATACGTAGTAACAAGTATGTATTTTTTTTGTTGCCCTATCCTGACTCATTCTATGTATGATTAGGTATATTTACCGATGCATAAAAGTAAAAAAAAAAATAATGTTAATCTTTAAAATAAATCTACTTAACATCAAACGAAAACTGCGTGAATATGCTATAAAGAATAATAAAATTGCTAAAATTGGTCAAATGTGCATTTTGCTCAGAAAACGGCGAAATATGCAAGAACATGCAGTTAAAATGTTAGTATTTCAATTCGTTATGACTTAAAATATAATGCATATCTTATTTAGAATATTCTATAATCGTAATTAAACAATATGCAAATACAACAAGTTCCGAACCCTACTAATAATCAATAAAACTAAAATGTCATTACACCTAATGGCCAAATCTGTCATGGGTAAACAAAAATAAAATAAGGGGCATTTATTATTATAGATACATACTATACATGTAAATGTCAAAAAAACAGAACAAAATAAATATTGAGATTTACTGTTTAATTTTGATGAAAATAATTAAATATTTTTAAATACATACTTTCCCTGGCATTCGGAAATTCAAATATTCGACGATTTGCTGTTACTGTAGAAAAGAGAGTATCGCTTATAAAATTCATATAATCATCATCAATTCGTATATCACTATTGTTGTTTTGTTGCCATTCTAAAAATTCATTCAACTAAAACATAATATTTTTCCAATTATTTTTAATAAAAATTAAAGTTAGAAAATGTAAATGTAGTCTCATTATAATCAATTAATTGCTTTGCTGTAATGTGCTTAACAAAGGAAAAAAAAATAAATAAAAATAGAAATATAAAATTTAAACCATGAAATTTTTTTCGAATGCGCATTAATACTAATTTTAAAATAGGTACTAAGAAGTTTTATTAATATAGTAGAGATAAAAAAAAAAAAAATGATGATTTTAAAAATATTTATAAAATATTTTAGTCAAAACTGATAAGTAAAAAATTAATAATTTTGATTTTAACCCAATAAATAATATTACTTCATAATTCATAATTATTTAAATATTTTAAATTCAGTCAATAAATGAATAATCTAAAATCAAGTTTAATATTTATTTATTCTTCATGAATATATTTCAAATACACAAGTTATTAATACCTGTGTATAAGTTATTACATAGGTACTGACTTAATTTTTTTATTTCTATAATTTATATACAATAAAAATGATAGATATTATTTGATATTATATAATAATTATTAAAACATGTATAATTATAACCACTGCTTTTTCTACTATAAAAAAGTAATAGACATTTTTATTTGAATTTTGTATTACATAATTATTGAAAAATATAAATGGCAAAAGAAAGAATGTGATGAATTAAGTAAAAAATTGTTGAATTTTAATAGTTTAGATGGTTTAACAGTTATTATTTACTTAAGTTATAAGACATTAATTTTGAATGATATTCAATTAATAGATTAAATACATAAAATAAAAGTATATTTATTTTATTAATTTAATGTTACTCTTGTAAACCTCTATAAAATATTTAATAAGATTACATTTTCGTACAAGTTTTAAAAAATAATACACTGATGTTCATATACATTTGAGTATTATTTAAATTTATATAATTAATGACATTACTAATTTTTGTCTTTCTTTGAAGCCATTTTGTAGTAAACTTCGATAAAACAATCTCCATTTTTTATACTCCGCAGTAACAGCATTAAATTTTCGTTTCCAGTATTTTCCTTCTAAAATAACTGCCTGAAATCAAAACTAAAAATTTTTATTTATAATTATGAGCTAATAAATATAAATACCTCTGGTTGTTTGTGACTGTCTACAATTTCTACAGGTGATGCAAATTGACAGATCATGTAATTACTTTTCTTAATAACTGTTAATAAATAAAATAAATGTAATATTATTTATCTATATTATATATTGATAAACTGTTACAATTAAAAATATATGATTTTATTCAGTTTCAATAAATTATTGAGTATTTGTTTTATAAAATATTTGAAACAGATTACTTAAAAATATTTGCTATAGAATAATACACTATGGAAAATGTATAAGCAATTTCAAAATATCTATCAATTGATATTAAGTATGATAAAATAATCACAAACAATGTAAATTTATTTCTACCACATATTTAGGTACTAAAAAGAAAACTATTTACTAATATTACTATTATTAATCAATAATACAATTTATAATGATTTAAAATTAAATAACATTTGCCAAAAAATTTCAAATCATTAAAGATTCAGAGCAAGAGGGAAATACATCACCAATATTGACCATACCATAAAACTACTTTTCAGATACCTAAAATTAACATAAAATTATATGATGTAATTGTTTAAATGTTTTTTCTCTCAGAAGTTTCTTTGAAATCTTTTATAATATTTACATTTTTTTATTTTATTTTTTATTATTTACATTTTTTTTTGCCTAACCAACTTAAGTATTTTTGTTTATATTTATTTTAAAAAAATAATTCACTTTGGGGTTTTTATGTCTTAACAATATATATAACGTCAGACTAACTATACTGTAATATATGTATGAATATATATACAATACTAACAACTATAAACATTATACTCAATTTATTTCTTATAAAAGTTATTAAACTTTTAAAATAAAAGGTCACAATAAATTGATTATTTTGATTATAATTGATTTTTTTTTTCATTAAAATAAATAAATTCAAAGTTTTTAAACTTTAAAATTTTAAAAGTCATGTACATAATTAAATATACATGCTATTATTACTAAAAATTATTATATTTTAATAAATATTAAATCTCAAAATATCAGTTGAAATTTCATACTTGGTATGATTTTTAGATTAATTTATTCATTACTTCAAAATCAAATCAGTTATTATACTGTGATATATAAATATAAAAATGTTTAGTCAGTGTTAATAAGAAAACAAGTTTAGTAATTAGTTTCATATCATTGCTTGGATATACATATATTCAGTATTAATAATAAATTATGCAGTATGCTAGTGTAATATAAATTGAACATTAATCATAAATATGTTATGAACAATATTGGATTACTTAAATAAAATTCCATTACATTTATTTATACCAAATGTATATATAAATTTAATTTTTAAAAATTGATTTTACTTAACAATATCAAACACAATAATGTTGTTGTTTTTTAGTTAATAATTGAAATTTGAAATAAAGTACCTTTTTACATAGTGTAATTGTATGATATCATGAAACTTAAATAGTATTGTAATAAGAGTTCTTTAACTTTTAACATAAAAATATAAATGCTTTAAATTGAGTATGAATATAATAACAATTATGTTAATTTTAAATTATTTTTAAAAATTTGAAACTTAACTCATAATCAAAGAATTTATTACACTTTATAATAAATATTGTTTAGTATAATTTTGAGAAATATTTTTTAATTAATTGAAATTGTATATATATATAACTATACAACAAACTATAATACATAAAGATATGTTAATTATTAAATTGCATTAAAAAGTATTATTTCATGAAAAATATAAATAAAATATATACCAACTATAATACTTTGTTATACGTGGATTTTATTATTTCACACTTGCCAAAGATTTAATGAAATAAAAAGTTAGTCTAAGATAATAACGTCAAAGGTTAAGACCTTTATAATCAAACATTCAAAGAAAGATAGCAAAACATTTAATTGTCATTTAAATAATATAAATTGTGATAAGTCACTACATAAACACATAATCTCAAAAATAACTCACATTGCATATGCCAACACCTCCATATTAAGTTGTTTAAACGGATTTTGTCTTTCCACCTTAAACGAACTCCCTTGAAACGATTCCATTTAGGAGAAGTTAGTTTGTGTCTAAAATGTAAAAACCAATATTGAAATACTTTCAATTTCACTGTGTTAAGATAACAAATTTAATTCAGCATTAATTAATAGAAATAATATGAAGTTCAATAAATATAAATAAATAATGAATGTAGTTAATTGTGTTATCGACGGCAAAATTGATATAAAACAAATTCTAACAAGATAATAATTTGCATGAATATGAACGATAACTGAAACTATATATTCTAAAAATAATATGAATTTAAATAAAACAACTATTTTATAAATACAAACAAAGTTACCCATCACTTAAATTATTAAATATACCGATTAATTTAAAATAAAGTTTATTTTATAAGAATTAACTAGCTAATATTTTAATGTTATAAATACTATTTCTTCAACTTCAAAATAATACAATTTTTAAATTAAATATTACAAATATGATTAATAATTTCTTGTGAAAATTATATCTGTTGGCTACAATATAATACTCATTAGTTTAGTAAAAAATTCAAAAAATAAATAGTAATAGTATATATTAAACACAAATCACACATTTAAAATATTAATTTAGTATCAAAGGAAATATATTTTTTTGATAAATTTTAATATATTTGTATATGAAGACTATTAATTTATCAAAATCAGAAATTATTAAGAAACAATGATTAAAATTGATTTAAATTATTAAATTATATTATCTAATGTTCATATGATGATATAAATTATGTTATTCATTACATTTGGTAAATGGAACATATTTTGTAAATAAGGGTCATACAATTTATATTACCTTTTAAATTAACTACATTATTTTAGCATAAATAATTAAATAACTATGAATCAAACAATTTTAGTTTCTTAATCAGAGATATTACTTCCATTTTGACTAGGATAAAATAATGAAGAATCACAAAAATTTCAATTTAACATTTCAGAGAACTAATTACATTATAGGTAGTACCTTCTTTAGTTATATACTTAATAATACAAAACAATTTATTTTAAGTTGCTCCTTTTCAAATATTATTACAACAAAAAATTATTGTTATATCATTACAGTTAATACTAAGCATTTAATATTCTGTTATCAACCTAAGGGAAACATACATTTTGCATAATTGTATTCAATATTCCAAGTACAGCAAAAACCATACAAATCTTAAGACTTAAAATAGTATAATTTTAAGGTACTAATCAATTATCTTATTCAAAATTTCTCGTATACTACAGAAAGTTTATAATAATAGTTGTCTTAAAAATGTATATGTCATAATTTTTTTTTTTACTTGATTTGGATGAATTTGTAAGTTTGATTTACCCTAATAATCTCTTTATTTTCAATAAATGTTATTTAATATCATTAATATGCTGTAGAATTAACAAATTGTATAAGTCGATAAATAGTAAACAATAAATAATACGTCTTGGGTATAGTAGCTATTTTCAGAAACATTTACTGACCACAAACATAATAAATAACTATTACATTATATATTTGTAACTCCACAATATGTTTTGCACAATAATTCTTAGCACCAAGTTTAATAAATATAAAAGAAAATATTATCTTGAATCCATATTATTAATTATTTTTTTCAAATATGTAATATTATTTATTTTTTTTTAAAGTTATTTTGTTCTAGAGCTATCTTCTATACGACATTGATATAGATGTTATATGTAAAACCTACAGTATAGATACTACATCATTTAAAACAAATTGGTTAATTTTACCTGTAAGCAACAGCCATGCATTGAAAAAGGTTTTTTAACGAAGTTCTAGAGTTATTGATGTCAGCCCTCATTAATATTTCTTCTGACACAGGAACGGCTACCTGGAATTCATCATCTTGAGCCTCAGCCTCAAAGTTTGAAAGCATAAATTGTCCCGAGTGTATGGTCTCGTAAGTAACTTTTTTTTGGGACATCACGTAAATATATTCAATTTTATATATATATATATTCGAATTCACTTGGTGTTTAATAAACTACGAACGAAAAATGTACGATAAAAAATAACAATAAATGAATCATATCATCTGTATATGGTTACGTATACAAAACACATTTACGACTGACCGGTAAGTATTACGTTCTTACTTAGCGATTAAACGTGTTTGAACTCATTATACACGTTCGGCATTAAACGTTTCTTAAAATATCAAATAAAAAAATAAATGAAAGTAATACAATTACTATGATACGTACTTTTCGTGATATCTATGCGGCAGCTGCAAATTGTATTTCGTAGATAACAAACTCGCACACGTGTGCGTATTTGATTAAGAGAAAAATAACACCTGTTGCACGCGCCTAGTACCTACAGCAAAGAAAACGTAAACACTCAGTGTCATTGAACTAATTTGTACAGTTTCTGTAATATGTTGCTAGTAATGTAGTATAATTGGATGATATGCTTAGTTTTCTAGTTAGAAGTTAACTAGTTAGTAAACTATTTAAAACTTATTGAGAATTAGATTTTAAATGAGATTTTACAAACATGTGATTTTTTTATACCTATACCAATCATAGGTGTGTGTATAGCAGTGGCGGCGTGACGGCAGATTTTTGAGTCCCTGGACTCAAGTCAGTGGGTGGGTATTGACCATTGGGTATCGAGTGGGTATGTAGCATGTAAAACGAATAGTGGGGGAGCTCTTTTTACAAGCTACCCTTAAATTTCTTTTTAGGTGGGTGGGTGGGTGGGTGGGCAAAATCCTAACAGGACTCATGAAGTAAAATATTTCGCGCCGCTTCTGGCGCATAGTGAGTGCCGAGTGTATCCCAGGGACCTACAAAAATTTTGTAAATGAGGGTCCTACAATTTAATTTTAAGATAAAGGGGCTCATATTTTTTAACTAATATTGCTCAAATTAAATTAAATGTAATTTATTCTAAGATATTTAGTAAAAAATTAAAAATCATGTTTCGTAATAGAAAAAATAAAACTAAATTTTCTAAATGTTTGTGCCAAAACTTATAATGATAATATAACAACTACAAATGGCAACAAAAGTACAAATCATAAATAATTAAAGCTATCTGAGAATAATATACGAAATTCAAGGAAAACATATTCATTGGCACTAAGATACCACAATATTAAATATAAATTAAAGTTATGTTTAATTAATTATTTATACATTATAAATAGCTGACCCGATAAAAATTGTTTTGTCATATAAATTATTTCTAGAGAATATTTTGCTAGAAAAAACTTATTTAATATAATTGATGTTCTCACAAATGAATGGAGGAAATTACACAATGAAGAACTGCAATCCCTTTTCCAGCGACCGGATATACTGAAAGAGATAAAAAAAAGAAGGCTAGTTTGGGCAGGACATGCCTGGAGGAAGCATGACTCATTAATAAGAAAAGTAATAGAGAAAAACCCAGTGGGGAGGAGACCTCTTGGAAGACCGCGCTTAAGATGGGAAGATTGCGTTAAGAGAGACGCCAAAACAGTGGAGCCGGAGATTCATTGGCAGGAAGTAGCAGAGGATAGAGATAGGTGGCAGTATGTTTATCTAGAGGTATGGTCTTGAATGGCCAAAACCAAGAAAGAAGAAGAAGAATATAAGTGTGTAAGGATGTGGTATATAAGTGGAAAAAGTATGGAGTGCTGTGAACAGTGACGGAATATAAAAATGAAAAAACATCAAACATTTATTTTTTTAATAATTTATTAAAATTGATCCTTTAAAATTATATATATATATCGCTAATTATGACAATATTAGTAAAAAACAATATCAATCCCTTAATGCAACAGACTGTACAATATTTATTGTTTTCGCATATTTTGTCACCACAAATAAACTTAATGGTTCGAGAGCACGCCACGTATTATTTTTAATTATCCGTGTGAAAAACATGATGTTCTCAAATCTAAGCCACAGACAGACATCGTTTGGCCTTGAGATTTATTGATAGTCATTGCAAATGCCAATCTAATTGGAAATTGAAGGCGTTTAAATTGTATTGGCACATCTGTGGGTATAATAGGGATTCGTGGTAGTAATATATTTTCACCTCAGAATTATAGGCTTCCATAACATTTTTCATTAATTTTTTAATGACAAATCGCGTGCCGTTGCACAACCGTGATGAGTTCAAATAACGAAGCAAAATAACTGGAGATCCACCTTCAGTTGTAAATTATGCGGTGGCTTGCCTGAATTTAAAAATTCTGTTAGTTAATTTATAGCTTCACTAACATCGCAAACTATATCAATAGATTTGTATAATACCAAGTCTCCTGGTAACAAATGTTGTATCTTGAAATTCAATTCGTAGACGTCCACAATTTTTGCTGCTAAAATAATGCTAAAATAATGGATAATATAACAAACAATAACTTAAGTTAAATTACAATTATTTACATTAGTTCAGGTCAGGGGGGACTTGGGTGAAGAGGCCATTTATTGATGGAACTCCTTCTATTTTCCGATGTAGCAAAGAAAACATGCAAATGCATGAACTTACGATCTTACTTGTCGTCTTCCAGCAAGCCAAGTGCAAGGCATGTATCTTTATACGTTGAATACTGTTGCCCATTCACTTTACGTATATTTTGAAATAACAATAGGCTGGTGACATTAACCAATAACAGTCGAAGATAAAAGCACTCAGTCTACCATGGATTGACTGTTAATAATCGTCCTAAGGTGTTTGATTTGAACAAACCGGGACATACATCAATCGGCATGCCTTGCTTCCGGGGCATTAATTTTTTTATTGGAGTCCATGTGAAATAGCGTGGTACTTCTGAAAATATTAATGTTCGTGCAAAAGCACCAAAAGCATTCACATGATTACACAATTCAAAAAAATTCGGTGAGTGTATTTTTTGGTGGATTTATAGCAAGATCAATCGCTGTCTCGCTCGTGAAATACACGCGCTGGCCGTTTTCAAGATGGATGGCTAAATGATGAACTGCTGGATCCCGTTCATGAATTGAGAAACCTAAAATACGCCAGCTTCATTGGAGCCGACATACCGGTCAATTTCGTAAAATGTAATTTCATCGTTGTTATTCATCGGAGGAGCATTCACATTCGTTTTATCAACTCGAAATACAGCCATATCACTGTCTTTATTCACATACTTGCAAATGTATTGATATATATGCAAATGCATATATATTTGATGCTCTTCATTGAACTGCAGAACTCAAAATTAATATGAGCATTGGATGTTTTGCTTAGCAGAGGTCTGGCTAATCTGTTATAATAATTTGGGAACAAATGAATAAGCAATTCTATTTTTATATTTAATATAATGTTTCATTTAATACCAAAAATAAAATTAATAGTTTTTTAAATAGTTTATAATAGTTTTTTAATAGTTTCATTGAATAGACTGGTATCAACTGATGGGGATAATTGATCAATTATCACTTGCACAGTTATCGACCGGGCCAAAAAATATTGAATTAAACTACGATGTATTAAACAATAGCACTTAGAAGTTTAAAAATAGATAATAACCCATTCACAGACCTACCAAATGTATATACAAAATTGCATTAAAATTGGTTAAGCTGTTTCGGAGAAGTATAGTCACTAACACTGTGACACGAGATTTTTATATATATAGATAGATAGAGAAGATTAAATAAATACTTTACAGAACTTATTTATAAAAACATAAAATTATATTTCAAATATAATGTATCGTAGTCTGAGATTAATAGAAACGATTTTAACGGTTTTTTATAGATTATGAGCTCAATTTTTATGGTATCGATATCACGAAAACTGTTTTATAAAGATCACATATGTAGAAGTACCAAAAATAAAGTTTATAAGCAGGTCTCATAACTTATAGCTCTAAAAAAAAAGTAGTTATAAGCTCTATAATATACTCTTAAAAATATTCATATAAGCGCTTAAATATGTAGTAAAAATACAAAAATAAGCAAAAATAAATATAACATGAAAAAATAAAAATCTTTCATTTATTATTAAAAAAAAACATATGTATAAAAAACAATTTTCATGTATCATGTATAAAAAAAAAATTTAAACTTTTATTATTAAAATTCTGATCGCGTCGCTATATGATACACAAAAATATATAATTTAAACCAAAAGAAGAAGAATTAGTTAATTAACATGAATTAATTACAAATATAAAAATTAATATTACTATAATTACTTGTTATTATTAAAAAAAAATGTTTTAAACGTTACAAACTGAAAAAGACTTATTAAAGCAAAATAGAACTTATACTTTGAAATATGCAACATAAAATTTCATATTTAACTTCTTAGTTATCTAAAACAAATTTATAACTGACATAGGTATTTCTAGGATCTAAAAAAAATTAAAGTAAATTATGTAAAAAAAAATTTATGTAAATTTTAAAAAAAATTATGTAAATGCTATAACTTATGGGACCTGTTTATAAGGTTTGCGTAATGACGATTGTCATAAACCGGGGAGGAGCCAGTGTTTCCCAATTTTTAATAAGCCGTGAACGTGTATTTAAAAGAGAATATTATCGGATTTCTGAGTATAAAATAATAAATGAAAATTTATTATTTACCGATTTTAGCATTTGATCATCGGATAAAGAATTGCCAACTTTTTACAATTTCTTAGAGTAGGGCATTTGCCATAGTCTGCCCCCCCTCCAAATGACGCTCCTGACTCCAATACTTAGGTCACATAATAAGGAATGAGAGCAGGCGTTCAATACTTCGAGCTATATTGCAAGGGAAAATATATAGAAAAAGAGGCCCTGGTAGAAGAAGAAAATCGTGGCTTCCAGGGCTCGACTTGGCAAAATTAAAGAAAGGGGATTCTATTTACTTTAAAAAAAGAACGTCCCCAAAACTGGCCGAGCGTTATGATTATATCGTAATAATAATAGGGGGACGCTAAAATTTCTGAAAATTAGTTGGGGTACTCCCTCCCCACTCAAATCGAGCACTGGTGGCTTCACAATCCAAAGGAATGGTTTGAAAAAAGTTCATCAAAGTTATTTCACATCGCGACTGACAGAGTAATTACTGGAATGGTCGCTAACATTCGTAATCGAATGGGCATCTGAAGAAGAAAATGTGTTTTTTTAATGCTGAATTTTAGTTTTTTTGGTAAATTTGAATAACTGATTTCTATCAAGGAGACCTTAGTTTAGATCAAACTCTGACGATCTAAAGTAAGGACCTTCTACTGAATTAATTTACAAAATATTATTTCCAAATCTGATATTGATTAATCACCTGCAATGAAAACCGACTGTTAATGGGTAAGTGTGTTATGACAAAATATGAGAACAAAAAAAATTTATATTCACGTTTATTGTGTGTTATCCCACTTAATAACACAATTTTCGGTAATTAATAAAAAATAACCAAAATTAAATTATAAATAATTATACGGTAGAGGTAAAAGAGGTAAAAGCTAACAATAATACTAGCTTTCATAAAATGAAAATAAATGTTTGTACTTAAAAACATTTTCTTTCGTCTGTTTGTATATTTTGATTGCCGAAAAATGTTCAGAAAACAAAATGAGCAAAATAAAGTTATAAGTTATATAACTACATCGAGAACATGTCATGCAATGCGCGAACACGACGCGCATCGTCCCTACAATATGACCCTAGATCACCATAATAACAGCTAACTGTTCACAAATATTTTTTATAAAAGTTTAAAATATAATATTATTAATTATATTATTGATTTTTTTCATACAAAATGAAGTGTTACAAATTTTTATTTTTTGTCAATTACAAGTTACGAAAGATACAGTTTTTTTTATTGATGTTGTTCTTAGATGAATTATGTAATTATTACTTGTATATTGATTCTTATATTTTTAAGTATATTCATTTTTTCGTTTAACTAAATTAAAATTAAATTTATATGGTAAAAGTATTTATTCAAAAATCAATATTTGTTTTGTTTGAAATACGTAAGATTTGTTGCATGGCAACCAATGACCAAAAATATAGTAGTAGGTGGTATCACGACCACAATACCTTTAACTCACTATATAAAATTGGCAATCGTGTGTACAATGTTATTTTAGGGGTATAAATATTGAATGTCAGACAAAAACACTGAGTAATTTCCTTTATTAATCCATATTATAATAACATAATTTGCATAACAATTTTATGTTATTAATTTGCCTGCATTAACAACTTCTATCTATTATCATGGACGAATTTGAAGTATGGGAAGACCAAGAAATCCAATTCGATTTGAGTATCAAGTATATTTTTTTTTTAAGATTTACAAATCACTATGTGTTTTATCGACATATTTAGATTAGTTTATGAATTATTTATCTTATGAATATAATACGGTTTAATTGATATGTTTAAATATTTTAATAAATTCCTGAAAGTAGTAATTTAAGATTATTAACCAAGTACCTAGGTATACAAATATGTAATAATTATTTGTTAACATATTCATGATATAATTAATTTTAATTATATTACAATTTTTATTTTCAAAATCTATCACAAAATTAATAAATATTTTATTTGGTTTTAGTAAAGTTTTGAAAATGAGAAACGGAGAAAAAATAATAGATCGGCTAGAATTTATTGAAGATACAAAAGGAAATAGTGGTGATAAAGGAGTACTTGTTATTACAAATTTAAGAGCTATTTGGCATTCTATGACATTAGCAAGAATAAGCTTATGTAAGGCTAGGCAAAGTGTATTGAATTACCTAATACTCAATTGATTTAAGATATTGATAATGGAATCGAATATTTATTAATTTTGTATATGAACAGCTATTGGTTATAACTGTATTCAGGATATTTCTACAAGAATTGTTAACTCCGTAAGAAATAATGTTCATAAATATAAACATTATACTAGCACAAAAAAAGTGAATTGTTTTTAAACATAAATATGTATATTTCAGAGATTAAAAGGGATAACAGAAGCAATTTATATTCAAGCTAAATATAATGGGTTGAGATATGAGTTTGTCTTCACAAATTTAATACCGGGTAATACAAGACATTTCACATCATTTATTGGAGTTTTCAAGTATACAAGAAAAAACATATCACTATTTTTAATACATTTAAACCAGCATTTAAAATATTTCAGAGCTTATAATTCTAGCAGACTATATCGAGAATTAAAACTTAGAGGAGCTATAATAAAAAATGATCGTTTAAGGTTATTGATGTTTGAAACAATGTATTCAATTGCTAATGGTGTATGGAATTTATCGAGTGAACAAGTAATATTTTATAAATTTAACCAATTTTTTTTTAAAAAAATGTATTATGAAAGTTGAATAAAGTTAGTAGGTACTTATAGAAAATTGATATATTATAAATAACAACTACCTGTTTTAATTATAGTGTTATACATGGATCCTCATTTAATTAATTTTAATTACTATATGTATGCACTATTGTGTAGTAAATAATTTACAATTTCATAACCTATATTATTTATCAGGGAAATTTAGGAACATTTATAATTACAAATATTCGATTAGTATGGTACGCAGAAAGCAATGAGACATTCAATATATCACTTCCATACATTCATATAAACTCTGTACGTTAAAAACTATTTGTATCAACTACTTAATAAAATGTAATATAATTATTTATTAATTAGATCAAAATTAGGGAATCCAAATTTGGAGAAGTGTTAGTAATAGGTACTAATGGATATAGTGGAGGATTTACACTAGGTTTTCGAATAGACCCTAAGGAACGGTTACGATCCATCACTAAAGAGTTGTCATCATTGTTTCATATTCATTCTCAAGTACCAGAATTTGGAGTGCATTTTGTTATTACTGATCAGGTTATTATTTTTTTGAATCAATATTTATACATCATAAATATTTAAATTTAATTTGAATAAAAATATCTTAGGTAGAAAATAATGAACCTGTTCTAATACCAACAACACTTTCAAACAACTATGACGAATTTGAAGATGAAAATGCAATAGGTGTTTCAAATACTTTAGCTGCATACAGTGTGAGTAAGAGAGGCAAAGATGGATTACCACAATATGATTTTTCATTGGGTTTAGCCATAGAAACATTACCAGAAGGTTATACAATGAGATCATTGTGGGAAGTTATATCAATAACTAATAAATAATAAATACATTTTTTTAAATGTCTTATGTTTTATTAAATATAAATTTTATTTTTTTAGTGAAAAGTATAATAGCTTTTAATATTAAGCCTCAACATACTAATCGGTATGAAATATAACGTCCAGCTGTCTCAGAGTTCCTTACAATTTTTACAACCTGTTAACAACAAATAGATAAAATTAATTAGTTTTTCAACTAATTTAATACTACATGAGTTGTAATTTATTAACTATTAGAACATCAATATTAATGACATAATTTAAAATTATTCTTTAGAATTTTTAAAATCAATCAATTTCATGTTCTTCATTAATAAATTCATTAGAAATTTAAAGTTATTTATTTAAATTTTAAAATAATGAATTGTACAGATATAATATTATCTTGAATAATATTGGAAGTATTATAGTTTATATGTTAAAAGTAATAAATAAATCTACTAAAAATATGTCAATAGTTAACTCTAAATACAATTATAAACCATTTAAATTAAGAGATAGTATGATCATGTATGATGTAAACTTAAAGATATATTACAAATGAGATAAGCAGTAGTACGTATTATGTATAGATGGAATACCAACTTTGACATCATTAATAGATTAAATCAAAACTATTTGTTCAAAGTTCTTTACACCATATATCAAACAATAATGTATTGTAATGAGTATTACCAAAATCATTATTTTAAATATCACTTAATAGTAATTAATTAATACATTAAAAAAAAAAAATTAAAAAATCACTGAATTATTTCTGATTAGAATGAATAATATGATGAAGTTGAAAATAATAGAAAAATTAATAAAAGATTTATAATTCCATGGATATAATGATTTTAACACTTAATATTTAAACATTTTTATGTAATAAAAATTAATGTTTAATATAAATATTCAATTATCTATTTGATAAAATTATAAATTACACTTGTCTTACCTGTCCTCTTTTTAAGCCAAAGTAACGAGAAACTGGATCACCGACTTGAATCCTCATAAGTTGGTTTTCTTTTAATTTACTATTATATTTTTGTTAAAGAAAATTTGGATAAGAATATAAAAAAAACAATTAAATTATGTATTTAACTAATATTTCAATATAAAAATGTAATAAATTAGAGTCTTATAAAATATTATATTACAAGGTGTTTTTTCATACATTATTACTTTACTTCTTAGATATTTTACTGAAGTCGTAATGTTTGAAAGGTTAAAAATACTACTAATTCAGATTTTTGTAAAAAATATAATTATACTTTATATACATAGCATAGAACCATGGCTTTAAACCCAAACATCTAGAACAATTAACACAATAATCAACCAATTAAAAGGTGGTCATACTCATTGTTAGATATGTTAATATAGTAATCTATTGGACAACAAGGAATTAACACTTTATACAAAATACTATCAATCACATATTAATAAAATGCTCATATTTGCACTTCAAACATATATGCTCATATCAACCCGAAAAAAATCACTTTCAAACTCTTCCCTTTTCTCGAGAATATTGAATTTGACAAATTAATTTAAAAAAATATAAAATAAAATATTTTCTGTTCATTATTGTAATAATATATATATAAACTAATGGTCATAGTAGTTGAAGTTATAATTTAGAATCAATAAACTCTGATCAAATAATTTATATGTGTTCAATTTTTTGGTATTAATAAAAAGGATACTATCTGGATAACAGTTCTTGCTTCTCATCTGGAGTCAATACAATATGTTCAGGTACAAGTTCATGCTCAGTAATATTAATTAAGAGTTCAGATTCTAAAAATTGTTCCAATATATACTTAGGAGCCATATCCACTAAAGACTAAAAAAAAAAAAAACATCATTTATTTATTAAATTAAATTATTAAAATTACATATTGTACATACATACATACATATTGTATGATAAAAAAATGAATTAGTTTTTAGCTGTACATTTTAAATTCAGACAAGGCAAAAAATGTATTGATTTTATAATAATATTTGTTTTCTTTATTTCTTCAGAAAATAAAGCTACATTAAATCTCATAAAATTCCAGATTAAGGAGAGGGCCACATCCCTCCACATTTGTAAATGACCCATAGTCTTTTCGCCTTAAAAATTACATTGAGTGATAATTTTATAGTACCTACAAGAATACTTTTAATATTTTCTTGTTTGAACTAAAAGGGAGTTAGGAATTATCTCCAAGTTTATTTTAAGCGTAAATTGTTTAAATTTGTTTTACTAAATTTTTTTTATAATTTTAAAGAATTGCTTTCTTTGGTAGAGGCCTTCAACCATGTATTGACTCCTGGACTCTTAAAGGTCTTAATCCAGGTTTAGTACCACATAGAATTTTATTAGATCCTCTTAGATGGATTCAATATATTTATTACATCAACTTTAGTTCAGTATCATTTTGAAACTAATTTAAATAATAAAACCCTAATAATTTAATAAGTATTTTAATGAGTGCTAAAATAACTTAAAAGTTATGGTTCAGTTTATTTTTCATTATATGTTGTTATAATTAAATGCTTATTTTGAACTCTAGAAATTAGGATGAATAATACTTATATCATAAACAATTATTAAACAGTGAACAAAATTATATTATATTATTTTTTTTTTTGATATTTGATTTAAAAAATATATTAAAAATAAATTAATAAACCTAGATCCCTATCAGTGGCATAGCTACCACAAGAATAGAAGGACCATTGTTCCTGAATGCCAAATTTTTGTAAGGCATATTTGAACTAGTGCTAGTGACCATCAAAACATTCCATCAAAAAAAAAAAAAATAAATAAATAAATAAATATTGGTCAAGTTAAATTACAATTGTGACCTGTTTTCCAAGTAACTATGACTCTCCAATATATATATATATATAGGTGAGTGTTTCGTTATTGACTACTAGAAATGCAATACCTATTGGATAAAACTTCTTTCGAGGGAGACCGTTTTAAAATGCAAAATTATCATTTGGGATGAATGCACTATGGCACACAAACATTCGCTTGAGGCGTCTAACTATTCAGCGGCAGTCTGTTACTCCTTTCAGGTGATTTCAGAGAAACACTTCCCATTATTCCACATTCAATGTGCGCTGATAAGATCAACGCTTGCTTGAAGTCATTGTCACTGTGGCGTTATGTTGAAAAACTTAATCTAAAAGTAAACATACGCATTCAAATGCCTTAATATCCATTCACTGACTCATTCTCAAAACAATTACTAGATATCAGCAATAAAAAATTTGCTGTCGATAAAAGTACTGGATGCATAGCATAGCCAACTGATTTCTGTACAATCGTTGATTTATAAAATGCTCTCATTGAATGCATATTTCCATATATACACATACAATACACGAATCATGAATGGATGGCAGAAAGTTATTTTGGCAGCAAAAAATGAGGACGTCAACGATTTAAATTTCAAGATACAAGAGTTTTTGCCAGGTGAATTGATGTCATACAAAATTTAAAAAATGAATGATCGGTGTTATGTAATTTTTATAGGCCTAATTGACTCCATTTCTCTTACAATCATAGATACCATCCTAACATACTTACAATAAGTTAATTATTCTTTATACTACAAAATATATACTAGAAATACTAGAAATATATGGCACAACAATGTTTGTTGGGTCAGCTAGTATATATATCTAGTATACAGCGGCAGATCTACGTGGGTGGATATGGGGGATAGATTCTACCCGTGAGCCGAGAGTTAAAAAAATTTTTTTTGCAACCAATTCAATTTTACATGCACAATTTAAATAAAAACTATTCTTATATTATTTCATTATACATTATACATTATACATTATACATTTTAAAATATTTTTAATTTATTTTGTACTAACTATGGCTAAAAATAGCTTTACATACTTGTTTTGCACTAGGAGTCATTCCTTGTTGAACAACAATTATTGCTCGAGTTATGGTTTCCTCTTGCATTCTTTGACAATAAGTTTTTATAGTTTTTATTCCAATTTTTGGTTCTTCGGGAAAGAACACAAACATTTGATCTAAAATTTAATGTAAATTTTTAAACAATTCTAAATTAACAATGCTCATTATACCTGTAGGATCATCATTATGTGCTACAAGGACAATTAAATCACTACGACTTGGCCTCTTTTCACTAAAAAATATTAAAAACAAGAAAAGTTGTTATTTTTTTTAGTTCTTAAAACATCATCATACCTTGGTTTATCTCCAAATTGTTCTTTAAACTGTTCTAATGTTTGATCCAATTCATCTTGTGTGACTAAATAGCCTCTGTCGTGGCAAAGCTAATAAAAAATACAATTATTAAAAGTAAATAAAGAGTACATAGAATATAAATTAATACATCATTTAAATATTTTCAATAACTTATAATAATAAAAAAAATTATCTTAGGTACAATGAATAATGAAAAATATAATTTAATTGTCTCCAAGATAATATACTAGGTCTTAACTCTTAATTATACAATTAATTATGGCTTAAATACTGTATACATTTCAAACAATTTATTTTTTTTTTAGTAAAAAATTGATACACTAGTTATTAATCTAAAATAATAATAAAAATTTAGTTTTAACACATAATATCTCATTACCTGCATAACAGTTTTCCGTATTCTCCAGAGTTTATAAGATTCACATTCATCGTCCATAGTGAAAGACCTAAGACTTTAAAAACTAATAAATATTTTCTTTAATTTTCAAATAAGTAAAAAAATATCGTTAAACTATACCCTGAATGCTATGTAAAAAGCCAAGACCCATAACCGAAGTAACAAGATAATATGATATGCGGTATTATCAATAGGCACCACAACATTAATTATAAAGGATTGTTTCTAACATCATACACATATTATGTATATTACAATTGATAATAAATACTTATAATCAATGATATTACATATACGATCCACAGATATCTATATTATACTAAATAACGAACTACCTATGTTTTCCATTGAGAAAAGTGAAGCCCGGGGACGCAAGATTATCATACGTCCGCCATGTTTTCGGTTGGCAAAACATTACTTTATACTATATAAAATAGTTGAACACACTAAATTATTCAATTAAACATTTTTCATTATATTTAATCAAAATTAAATTTCATTACAGAATTGAGAATATTAATTTAAAATTGCACTATTGATTATTTATACAATGTATATAATATATATTGATAATATTATACTCGTAATCAAAGAGTATACAATAAATAAAATGACTAATTTAAATACACAAAACCAAATCACTATACTTGCTATATTTGGTTTTAACTATTATATATATTATATATATTAAATTAAATATATAAAATTTATGTTTATGTACTGATATACTGTAGTAGGGTTTGTTTTCCAAGTAATCACACCCATATCTTGATGTATACTTATTAAAATTGGTCTTAAGGATAATCCCTATAAATATATTAGGAGAAAAAAATTATAAAAAGAAAATGATACAGTAAATTAGATTTAAAAAGTATATTTAAACAAATTTCTACTGGTTATTAAAACAATATTAGTTTTGTTAGTAAACGACGTTTTTAACTGTTTTTAACTTAGCAATATGATGTAGTTGTTGCGGACATACATAAATGTAGGTCCTTACGACTCATAAGACATGGATGGGACCACGTAGATCATAAATAATAGAAATCGGGAAATAATTATTATTAATATAATATTCATATTCGTATGAATAGAAAGGAATTTTAATTTAATTAGAGGGTAATACAAGCATATATTATATATGAATCGTGTGGTTACATTCCAAAGTGTGACATTAAAAATAACTATTACAGAAAGACATCAGTATGATATATTACGGAGATTTAGGTCCTTACTAATTATATGGTACAGAATACAATTAGTACATAATAATTAAAATATTATAGAAATGCATCAATCTAAATGCCAAGGTGAATCGCATAGGACGAGTGATTTAGCATTCACTAGGTCCGGGTCAACTATGAGAAGCGGGGTATATAAGGGAGTCCCGAATAGACCAATATTTAGATGTGGTTTACATGTATAGTCGCAAGCACCTTCACGCCAGATCATTTTTAAATAGTGTTTTTGTACTTAGAAGAATTCTTAAATAAACAGTTAAATTATATTTGAGTATTTTTATTTGGAATATTATCCTAAAAAACTTAACCATCGTTACGATTGGACGACGACACGCAACATAGTCTAACATTTTTTAGGAGGGTAAGGGAGGACAAGGTTGATATTAATGTATTGTTATGCGTGTTTAAATTTTGATGGAAACGTTTATACATTGTTTTGGATAGTTCAATAGTAGTTATTATTTTTAAGTTGTTGTGCAAGGTAGAGTTTTAAACGTACCAGGGGGCTTTGGATACTAACCTTAGCCTTTATTGAAAAGCCTGAATTGGCCTGATGTTCGAGGGCTTTGCTGGACCCCACATTGCTATTCCATAAAACCAGACTGGTCTTATAATTCACTTATATATAATAAGTTTGTTTTGGAGTGTTATTTTGGAGTTAAGGAGTGGTCGGAGGATGTGAATTCTGTTGTTCGATGATTTTATTTTTTCTTTTAGGTGGGGGGCCCCAGGTTAGTCTTTTATCAAGCATTATGCCTAAGTACTTGATTTTGGTTTGGACAGGGATGGGAGCGTTGTTCATAATTAATTGAAGGCACTCACAGGGAGATTGTTTTGACGTGAAAGTAACTTGCACAGACTTTTCCATATTAATTTTATTTTTTATTTTTTTGGCCCATTCTTCAATTTTATTAGCATGATCCTGGAGTTCAACTGAAGTTAGGATAGGATTTGGACTGGAGGAAAGAATAGCTGTGTCATCAGCGTATACTGCTAGAAGGGTGTTACTAAATTGAGGGATGTCTGCTGTGAATACATTATATAGGTCAGGGGATAGATCACTACCCTGTGGAACTCTAGCATATATTGGGTGGGTAGATGAAATATCGTTCCCCTGTCGTACGATAAACGAAAGATTTTGTAGGTAAGATTTGATTATAAGATAGTAGGGAGCTGGCATGAAAAGTTTTAATTTGTATAGTAAGCCATCGTGCCAGACTTTATCGAATGCTTGAGCAATATCTAAAAAAAAAGTCCAGAACAGTATTCTTTATTTTCGAGAGCAGTTGAGATTTCATCAGTAAGACGATGAACTTGATGGATTGTTGAGTGCCTGTTTCAAAAACCAAACTAATTATTCGGTATGATATGGTTGTTTTGAAGGATGGGACGTAATCTTTTCAGGAGGGCCTTTTCGAAAAGTTTACCAAGGACTGGAAGTAAACTTATGGGACGGTATGACGAAGATAAGTGTTAGGTTTATTTGGTTTGTGTACAAGTATAATGACAGCAAATTTCCAGATTTTAGAGAAGTGGGAAAATCTTAGCATAGAATTATATATGTGGGTGAGCAATGATATAGTTTTGAGAGACAGATTTTTCAGAATTTTGTTTGTAATGAGGTCATTTCCAGGTGCCTTGCCGGGAGGTAATTTTTTAATTATATACTGCATTTCACCAGGAAAGATGGGTTTTGCAGTTAGCGACATAGGTAGCGAAGCTGATAGAAATTGTTGAATTTCAATAATTGTATCGTTTTCGGGATCGGTGCACGAAAGAGGCTGGAATGTTTCAGCTAATTGAGAATATACAGATACAGAGAATGTACAGAATATACGTTGCAATTAAAAATGTAAATGTTGAGGTGTTTTTAAATCATATTATCTATACTTCATATGTACCGAAAAAAGTGAATTACTTTTAAAGCGATTTGAATAACCGTATGCAACACAAGAAACAGGCATATTTAATAAATATTAGTAACTAAATAGTATATAATTAATGTTGTGATATGTGGGGAATAGTGTTGATACAATATTTTGCCAACCCAAAACATGGCGGACAACAATGATAACATAATCAATGCGTACTTCAAGTGATATCGAGAGTTCGTCATTTAGTATAATATAGATATCTGTGATACGATTTAACATCATGTTAATAACATCATAAACATAACAATATAATTTATCTTAAATATTTATTTCACGTCCATGATTTATTTATAATATTCATTTTTTATTATCCACAATATATTAGGGTTGGGAAATATGAATCAGTTAAATGAATCGTTTCTCCTAATTCAGTTGAGTTGATTGAATCGCTTCAAGAATTCGAATCATTTAAATATAATTTTAATTTAAATGATTATTATTAGGGCTCGGAAGTTGAAGATCTTAAAAATATTAAAAAATTACTAATATTTGTTTTAAATTAATAAAAATACATTTTTTAAATATTTGACTAAACAATTTTATATACATTTATTAAAACTTACAAATGTCCTTAAAATACAAAATTAAAAAATGACAAATATTTGTTTTATAAATTTATCAAAGCTTATGAGTTACTCAAAAATCAAAATCATTGCATTGTTTAATTAGAGCGTATTTAATGTTTTCAAAAGTAAATGAACGACGATTATCTATATCTATATATATATATATATATATATATATATATATATATATATATATATATATCTATCTATCTATCTATCTATGCTATGTATAAAATTGTAAGGGTTTTTCTTCGACCGCGCTAACCGAGAAAATTACTGAACCGATTTGGCTGAAATTTTTTTTGGCTGAAACCCTACACTCTGCTGAAGGTTTTAGTACCACTTTTGTCAGTAAAAAAGTATATAAAAGTTCATAAAAAATTAAAAACAATTGTACCTATATTGTATATACCTATATATATATGTACCTATACCAAACTAAAAAAGTTTATGCATGTATTAAAAAATAAATATATTTTCGGAGATGTAAATTGTTATGTTTACAGTGTTGAATGGTAAAAACGAGGTTTGCCACACTGCCACATTTATTTGTGGTTATAAACGAAAATTCAGCCAGATGAAATTGAAAAAATTATTTCTGCCGAGATACCAAACAAAGACAGAGATCCTATACTTTATGAAATAGTATGCAAGAATATGATTCATGGCCCATGCGGCGAGTTAAATATTAGATCGCCATGTATGAATAATGGAAAATGTAGTAAGAAATACCCTCACAAATTGGTCAAGGATACTCAAACTGGAGATGATGGTTATCCGACTTACCGACGGAGATCACCAGATGATGGAGGTTATACTGCAATATTAAAAGTTCGTGGTCAAATAGAAATCGTGGTTGACAACCGTTGGGTTGTACCGTATTGTCCAGTGCTATATAGGTGCTTTAATGCGCATATTAACGTAGAATACTGTCATTCGGTTAAAGTGATAAAATACATATGTAAATATATTAATAAAGGATCAGATAGAGCTACTTTTTCTGTTAATCGTGATAACGATGAGATTACAAATTATTTGAATGGTCGATACATATCTACTTCTGAAGCGTTTTGGAGAATTTTCAATTTTGAAATCCATGATAGAGATCCGACAGTTCAGCACTTGGCTGTTCATCTAGAAAATGGACAGCGTGTTTTCTTTGACGTTAATAATCTTCATCAAGTTATTGAAAATCCAAATCCAAGAAAAATGACACTAACTGCATTTTTTGAACTGCGTTCACATGATAATTTTGCGAAAACACTGTTCTATCATGAAGTTCTTTCTTATTATACCTGGGATGATAGCAGAGGCTGGTTAAAGAGAAGACGGGGAAAAAGTTCCAGGTTGGCCAGGAATAAAAATGGACACTGCCATTGGTAGAATTTACACGATTCACCCAAATCAAAGTGAGTGCTTCCATTTAAGATTGTTACTAAATTATGTACAAGGTCCTGCTTCATTTGAAAGCTTGAAGGCCTTTGATGGAGTCAT